CTATCTCTGACAGCAGCTTCACAGATCCAAACCACTGCAAGTCATGGATATCAAGCAAATGCATGTTACCGATAGCAGCAGTTTATCTCATGCCAAGTACTTGTGCTAGAAACAACTCTTGCATTCCTAAAAGCATCTCTAATACTTCTACTTCTTCTGCTCCACAGCCAGGGTCATGCCGCGTTTGGTAAAATAAAGGCAGCAGTATTGAAAGATTTCATGCATAAGGAGGCTCGAGTCTGCAATGTTAATAAAGGAAGAGTTATATCCCTCTGAATCGGATACCGATGAAGGAAATTTGGATGGGGGGGGGGTGTTTTCTGAGATAAACCATTCCATGCATGCTTGTTGCCTTGTCCTGATAAACTCCAGGTTATATCTGAAACTTCCATCCATACTGAAGGATTTATAATCATTACGACAGCTGGTGTGCTTGGTTTGGCTGAGGATGACTCCTATCCTTTCATACTTGCCTATTCTGATTATACAGAACTTCTTCAATTTTTCTAATAAAAAATCCTTCCTAGTCCTGCCCATTTAGCTGCAGAACAGACCCTTCATGAAGTTTGTGTAAGTAACACTCTGCCTGGTCCCTTTATAACAGCAATCAGGTTCATCTCTTGTCTTCCTAACAGAAAGATACTTTTATTTATTTATTTACAGTCCAAGACCAATTTTTAAAAGAAGACACTATTATAACACAACAAATATAAAACCATGATATAAAATAAACAACAAAAACTTCTACAGAAAAGCCTGAAGCAATTAATAGTGTAAGAGAGGCACCAGATGATTTCTGCAAGCCGTGGCTACTGTTGAAAATGTAGCAGCCTTATTGGACATAGCTGAAATTTGTTAGAGGAGCAATTAAGATTGTTAATTATTGGTGTTATAAGTATATAACTTATTGTATGGAGGACAGTCTAGCAGTACCTGTGAAACATATACAAGTCTGATTTTTGGCAGTCTTTTTCCAGATTCTGGAGACAGAAAACAACTGAAAACAACCTCTAAGGCTGTAGTAACTCTTTGTAGGGCCTGAGGATATTTTTGTCTAGTCTTTGCACTAATTAGATTTAGTCTGATCATATTCCAAACTTACTGCAAATGGATGCTCTAATGTGTACTTAATTTGAAGTTCAGATGCACAGTGTTTACACTTCTCTATATTTAATCACAATCTGATGATAGAAAAGCATGCACGTTTCCATGTTTTTTCTTGTTATAGGGATGTTTGAAAGAACTGAACATATTTGAAATTTTAAGTTTGCTCTTTCTGTGGCTTTTTAATGGATTTCTTTTCATTCTGCCTGAAAATTTCTATATAATTCAGTTATTTCAAAGTCTTACATCAGTAGAAATTAAGGTGCTTCTTGTAGATCTTTGAGACTAAGATTGCAACAAAATACAGATATACAAAATATGTTCACAGGGCACTAGACAACTATGTAATTGAAAGAAAGTTTGGTAGTGTTAAAAACTGAATAGCTTTTTTTTTTTAACCTTTCCTGGTTTTTAGGATCCACAATTGTCCTGAAAGGATATTGATTTTTCCTTAAGAACAGAAAAAATATTATTACATCTAAAGGTAGTAATGTTTGAGAGGAACCAACTTGCACAGGATGAAAAGGACAGTGTTCCCACTTCTCCTTCAGGAAGCCTGATTCTCCTATTCCAGAATTCACAAAGAATATTTTGTTTCAATGGCTACAGATGGTGTTTATATCCTGAAGAGGAGGGAGGGACTCTGTGTGTGTGTGTGTGTGCGCGCACACACACACATATGTGTACATGTGTGTGTGATGGCAATGATGGTAGTGTCTCTCACCTGGTATCTCAGCGCAGCCCCCCTGCTGCCTGTTAAAATGTACACCCTGCCCAGCCATGCCCTTATTTAGAACTAGCCTTCAAAGAAACCCCAAAACTGACCATATATGGTGAGTCTGTTGCTGCTGAGACTCCAGCAAGACAGTGGGGAACGCAGGCCAGAGAGTAGCTGTGGAGGGGGAGGGAAGAGACTGGTCTTTTGCTAGAACCGGCCCTCATGAGAAAGGCAGGGCTCTAGGAGAGAAAGGAAGGCTGCCTGGTCCATCAACAGAAGCTCTGCACTCCCCAATCAATCAGGAACTACTAGGAAGCTGTCTTGTCCCCAGCCAAGCGTTGGTGCATCTAGCTCAGTGGGTGGGGATAAGTAGCTTCCTGAGTTGTTCCTGATTGATTAGGGAATCAGTTGGAGACGCCAAGTCTGAAACGCAGGACCCTGGATGTGCACCTCATAGACTTTCTGCACTGCAACCCTCCCAGTATCTTAGAGGATACTGTGATCAAAGCTGGACAGATGCTCTTACATCCAGGGTGGTTCATAAATGAATGCTTCCCACAAAGACTGAAAGGGGCTAAGTTAAAAGAAAAAAGCCTGCTTATAATACATCATCTCTTGCTCCCAATATTGTTTAGGATAAAAGGACATGACACAGGCAGGGAGGCAGCAAAAGGTAACCAAGTCCTAACTTGAAGGCCTGCCAAAGGTCTAGTAGCAGAAAGACAGAGATGCAGGGCTGCCCACCGTGAGTTTTGCTGACTCAGAAAATACAAAGAGCATCACCTTCCTGCCTAATAACTTGGGCACAGTCCTCAAAATCCTGGAGAAGTTCTCCCTCACAAATCTTAAAATGAAAGGAAGGACACAAGAGCATTTACTTTTGTTGAACTTGTGCAGGGAATCTTTCTGCTGGATTGTATCTATACGCAGCACTCCCATTGGTGGGAAGAAAGGGTGTGGGGTGGACATAACCAAATCAGCCATCCCCATTCCCTCAGTTTCCTTTATTTTAATTAAGCATGTTCTCCCTCCTGGAAACCACCTAAAATAGCAGCTAAGGGTCCCATAAAGATTAGGGGTTTGCCTCTCCCCTTTGTAATTCAAGCATTAACTCCATGTGGGCTGTTTTCCATTCTACCCTCCAAATGACACCTCAGTCCCGTAATCTGAAGTGGCTGCCTCATTATGCCTCTGGTGAAGAGTCAGTGATGGCAAGTCCCATCACATCATGGCTTCCTGGGCTTCCCTCTGTTTAGCTAATCCACCCTAAACACCTTATGAGCAGTAGATAATCCACTGAAAGCCCAGCATTTTGTCTCGGCCTTCCCAATTCACTGAGTTCTGAGGCAAGAAAGACCTCCTGCACACATGGTAACAGGGTTCACTGAACATGTTAAGCCATAATTACCCAGCCCCTATGGGTTGGAAAATATGGCTTATGGATTAGCATGTTCATAAAATCATTCAATGTAAGAGCTGGAAAGGATTTTGGACAGTCCAACCCCCTGCCTAGGGCAGGAATCTATTACTGCAGCATCCCTAACGGATGAACCTTCGACTTCTGTTTAAACAACTCTAGCAAGGGAGAGTCCATCACCTCCCAAGAGAAGTGTAAATCATGCTGGTTCTCTCAAATCTCAGCCCCAAATTAACTGGTGTGATTCAGGCCTGTAGGGAGAGACTTTGTGCAGACAGAGGCCTGTGTATACATTAAGGTGGGAAGCAAGCATTGTAAAAGCCAAAAAACTCATTGCAAGTCACAGCTGAACCTAAGCAGGTTTCAGTCTGGTCAATGCTTTGTTGCGAGGCTGCTTGGGATTCCACATATACCAGTTTGAGTATATTGAAATTAATTTTTGAAATGAATAAAAAGGTCAACAGAGAAGAAATCAGAACTGCAGTCTAAGGCTGACTTATTTTGAATTAAGTACACAGAATGCACTACCCACTATGAAAAATAAGGAAAAGATTTATCAGGATAGCAAGCAAGCAATAAATAAATAAATCTAGGTTGTCCTTGGAAAAGAAGGGTATCTGAAGTGACAACTCTTTTAAGCTCCTGCAGTAGTAGTTGCGACAGGGTGCCCAGCTTTCCCCAACCTGGTGCCCTCCAAATATATTGTTCGTACTCATGAACAACTCCCATGGATGGGATGTTGCTGGACCAGAGATTAGAATCATGTGTTGATGCAAAGCCATGGAGGTGAGGCATATTGAATTCAATGGCCCTTACTTATGATTTAATGCAAAACTATAAGCCTCACTGGCTAGAATGCTCATTCGTATGACAAAAAGCTGTCCTCTGAGTGTTCAACAAGCAGATCTTATCATAAATACCATCAATCAGAAAATCAAAAGCCCTCATGTATAAAATTCTCTTTTTATATTGGTAAGGGCCAAAGCTTGTGCCATACCTGTAAAGCCAGCAGGTGTTCCGTATCTGTAAAATGGATATAATTGTAACCTTCCCTAAGTAGAATGGGATTGCCAAGAATGCAGCTTATGGCTACTAACATTTTTTTTCACTGATTCTGTTCCCTCTATGCCCACTTCAGAGTTTACTTCTGCCACAAACACTGTACATAGCCACAGGCAAGCCACAATTTTCCCAGCCTCAGCCTGCCTCTTGCCTGAAACATGGATACTTGGGAGGAGAGATGGTCTGCGAAGCACCTGGAATGCTTCAGAGGAGCCACACTTCTCTCACCTGCTCACTCTCGCTCTCTCGCTCCCTCTTTCTCACTCTCTGACACCTGGATTTTTCATAGGGGCAAGCAGCCCTCTGCACTTCTCCAGTCATCCAATTGATTCAGTCCCATCCCCTAGATTAAAAAGCACTATTCCACGGGGTGTGGTTCTGAAAATATCTCTCTCTCTCTCTCTCACACACACACACACACACACACACAC